TGCAACTCAGCGGGAGCATACCCGGAGCTGATTCCAATTCCCAATTCTACATATTGTTGATGTTCCGCCAATAGCCCTTCAAGCAAAAACTCTAGTGTTACATCACTCCATGGGAGACTAAAGCAAGCTGCAAACATTATTCAAAGATCAAACACAGTCATCTCTAATGTACTTGCAACACAATTATCCACTTTGATCACTATAGAGTTTGACACATTGAAACTTTTGGTTTTGATTACTTGTGCATCTTCAGTTCTCACTACCCTTTTAGAAGGAAAAATAACACTCATATTGCAGACTACACTTCACACTACTAAACTCACAAAACTACACTGACAGATGGATGATAAAGAGAAAGAAAGAAGAAAAGAAAATTCCCAACAATCCCTACTCTTTGTACCCATCAACTCACTGTTTTTTATTATTATTAGTTTATACTTCTAATTTTGTTATTTGCTATTCTTCTCATTATTTTTTCTTTTGTCATGATGTCACTTCCTCCTTTCCATTTGTTTTGTTTTCATCTGTCACTGACTAACTTGATTTTTGATTTGATGTTCATTTGGATCACTCAATTGATTTCCAAACTACAAATCATGAGTTATTTTGATTTGTCTCTTGTTTCTCATCTCTGTCACTTGATTTCCTCATATTTGGTTTATTGTTTTGTTCTGATGAATTCTAATTTGATTGATTTAATTTTGATGATTCAACTTTAATGATCTGATTTTGAGTTTTATTGGTTTTTTGTTCGATTATCTAGTTTCTAGTAATTCGATTTAATCATTTAAAACTTTTTAAATTGATTTGATTTTAATAATGCTGTCATTGTTTTTTGATTTAGATCGATCAAGTTTCAGATTTGTGAGTTCTCTTTTTCTTTTTGACTACTTTTGTATTCTTTTACCTAATACTGACTGATTCTTATTTTGATTTGATTTCAAAGTTGACTCTTGATTCACATTTTATTAATTTGATTTTATAATGATGTTGCTTTAGGTATTTAGATCGATCGATCGATTCGTTTTCAAATTTCAAGTTGTAAGTTTGCTTCTTTTCTCTTCATTTTCTGCTTTTGATCTATTACTCGCTGAGTCGTGTTTGTTATGTATTCAATCATTCTTTTATTTGATTTCGTTTCGATCAATTGCGTTGATTTTTTTTCTTATTTATTATTAATTTATCGATCCATTTGATTCATCTAAATTCATAAATTTGAATGAAACAATTTGATTCTTTCTTCTTCTCTTCTCTTCTTTATTTGATTCTTCGCTTTGTTTTGTTCATGTTGCTTTGATTTAAATTTTAATGACACAATGTTAATTCTGAATTTGTGAGAACGACACCGAGAGAAAATAATAAGACTTGAGAAAAGAAAAAAGACTAAGAATGACTGCGGTTGAACGAAGAGATGAAAGAAGGTGATGAGGTCGTTGAGATTGATTTCCACAACGCCAGCAAGTCTGTCTCTACATCGTCGGAATACCAAGCTTCAGAATCCCTTTTCCAACCTGTACAATGATGTAGAGTTCACTCACAACAAAACATACGCAAATTGAAATGTGTTTGAATCAAATCACCTGTAACGCAAGCTGTATCATCGAAGATTGGGCTGCAAAGAAGTCAATCCGGCTGGAGATGGTTCTGATCAGGTTTGACTGATTGGATCGAATAAGATCACTATGATCATTTCAAGGTTGTGATTTGAGGAAGTGATTGATTTGCGAGTAATGAGCTGATCTCGATTGTTTTGATGGGAAAGATATATCGAGAGGTTGCAAGACAATGCAATATAAGCTTTTGAGACAGCTTGGAGCTTTTGCTTTGGAGTTTGAAAAAAGTACTTGAATGAGAAGTTTTGATTCTTGAGTGCTCTTCTAGCCGAGCAAGAGTTGTTTCATCAGATAGCTGAAGGAAGGTTGAGGCGATGGTGGGTGATGAGGCCATTGAGATGTGAGTAATACACAAAGCACTTGATGTGAGTGGGGGAGCTTCATTGGGTTACTTTTGAGTATCTTGCTTGGTTGAACGGGCACCAAGAGTACTGATCAACCTGCAAAGAAAGCAAGATAGTTAGTACGCAGCGAAATAAACCTGGCCTTTGGATCATACCAGTCTCATCCGCATTTCATTTGACTTCCGAGCCCTGTAAGTTAAAATGTAACTTTCATCTATTGACCATTTATGTTCACTTTGATTCAACAAATGTGACAATGATGATTTAGTGTTGAAGTTTTTCCTGCTTGTTTTCCTTCATTTGCTCCTCTTCTTCTGAGTTCTGATTCTTGACTATCCATTGGGATTTGTGTCTTGACTTTCTTTGATTGATATGGATTGAAACAATACTCTGGTAAATTTGGTGATCAAATAACAATTGACCATCTGTGAGATCAATGCAGTGAGTTGGTTATTTCCGAAGCAAACTGTTTGAATAGAAACAAAATGGATCAACCTTTGTGGAAATAAAAACATGAGGAAATCAATACATACCGAGCTAATCCGATCTTATCAATGACAATATTATGAATTGATTTAAATAATAAGTCTGACTGGTGAGTCGATTTTGAAGTTGAAGTAGGTAATTGAATGGGTTGTGTTTGGTATGAGTTTTTTGTTGTCCAGGTTTTAATAACTGTAGAATGTGTCCCAATTTGCGTAATCTCGATAGATCTGTTTTTCCAATGATGTTCAATTCAATATGATGAGGAGATTGATTAGTGACCGGCAAGTTGATTGGGTTGAAAAGCAATTACGTCACAGAAAATAGATAGTGATATGAAGTTGGGAAGTTATTTGGCTGAGGGCAAAACTCGGCAGGCCAAAACTCTCGATTTTTCAAGCTGGGTGGGGAGTTTTGTCAGGTTTTGTTCAAATTGATGGTTCTCCTTTAACTTGTATGATATTTGATCGCACTAAAAAGATGAAAAGACTTAGAGAGCAAAAAGAAACATCCGTAATTCCAGCAGATTTACATCTGCAGCTCAAGCTCAATCGGATATCAACCTTTATACCAATTGAAGTCACTGAATGATCCAAGTACCATGTCTAATAGAATATTAACCCACTAGAGACTGGGCGGCCAGCCGCCGCACTACTATTATCGTGGCAAAGCCTCAACGTCCCAATGCAGTCAGCACCCATTACAGGGTAGAATGAATATATTTCGAAACAGAACTCAAATCACCTCTGGTTGTATTTTCAAAATCACGACACAAATAAGACATTAGGCATTGGGCGAAATTTTCGCTCTTTTTTTATTTTTTTGACCGACCAGCGATGCGCCTCACAAAGCAATTCGAAGATTGCAGAAGAGAGTGAGTTTCACAGGTAAAAAGCCCTGTCGCTTTGCCTGGTTACCTTTTTGGGTTAGATTTTCATTTGCCTCGGTCCGATGACCGCTTGACTCTTGTCTTCGAGGTTTCTGCTCGTCAACTCCAGCAGTTCGTGACCAATCCAGAGGATCAAGGTTTGAATCAATCAACGTCTTGATTTCAATTTCAGATTGAAATTGGATGAGTCTGTCTTGGATCGATCAAAGTCAACCAAGCAATCATCGGATCACGGCTGCTGGGGGATACCCGGGTAGATTCAAAACAGGGGACCCTGGGCAAGGTATCTGTGAAATGCCTGAAAGGCTTCTTTTGTGGCGCGATTGGGGCTTGTGGCTTTTACAGGTCAAGCAAGGATGCTCTACGCCAGATGAAATTTCGGAAAAATTTTGTGAAGCAAAACAAGAAATATTTTTTTTGCTGTGCTTTTGATGGCTTTGATATTGGCCAGCCATCCCTACTCAAGGATTCCAAAAAAACTGAACGACCTTTGAATTGGTTCGCGCAACCAAAAAACAAAAAAAATCAAAAACCTCGCCCAATGCCTATTGATATCCACATGCGATTTCTCCTCAGTAACCAATCACGTTTCAATAACAACCTTTTTATCATTCTCATTAATACCCAATGACTTACCCACCGTGTGATAATGTGGGACTCCGCGCTTCTGTAATTCAATTGAGACATCAGAACCAGGAAATAATTTTCCTACTATCGGGAGATTGCTATTCGTGTCAACATCATGCTGTCTAACCGCATTGACGTTCTTCGCATTGAACTGAACGCTCTCGTCTATACTCGTCATTGCTGTATTCGGCCAAAATTTGAATCAGCCCACATCGCGAATAGTAGCTAGCCAACCAACTGCCTATCACTGACAATCTGTTATGTTTACCGCAACCGATGTACAATGTTGAGAGTTGATTCCCTTTGCTTATTTCAATGTGCCTGTACAATACATAAATCAGCTGTACTCCCGAGCCTAATAGTGCATTAACTTACTTTTTTTCGCCCAATCGCCTCGAGATGATGAATAATACTAATATTGGGTGTCCTACAAGTCCAACACTATACGCCCACAATATACACTACATCGGTAACACTTTTATAGGCACAACTGTAGTCAGATGCCGTTAACTTCTTGCATGATACCAATGATATTCTGACTGACCGCCGCAACTCATATACCCCAATACCCACGAAATGTCTACAACTGTACAGTCCTTATTACCGTCATTCGCATACTCTTTGCTAATGCATTGCCTATGCAATGCTTACTTAAACAACTTGGACTGTACCAGCATGATCAACGGCTCGACGGCCAGTTCCTGAGCAGACGACAACTCCTCGACCATTGAAGTCATGCACATACTGTCAGCTTGATGCGACACGACGAACGTCGTGCTATCAAATTTTAGGCCAAAAACCCTAATACATCTTCTATGCTACTGACGTCATCACGATACTGACATTGATTCTCTTCACATTTGTCGCGTCGGAATTATATCCAGTCCTTCTTTCTCTACGTCACTCAACATTACCAACACCATCTACACCGCCAAGACTCGATTGGTTATTCATAAGCTCGCTATTTTTCATTGCGAGTCATTCAGTCCCTCGCTTCAATATCATCTTCTTTCTAAGTCCTCTCATCAACAAAACCTACAGGTTATGTCTTCTTCGAGTACAACTAATATCACATACGATTATCAAGTTGCATTGCAACAGCAACTTGCAATCACCTTTTCGGGAGAATTTTGTATCCAAGGCCTGGTATGTCCGGTTCCCTCTGTATTATAGTGCAGATGTTGACTTTTAATTAGGTTGAGGGACGTCGAAATGTAATAGCCCCTCGGAGATTTTATGCGGCCACTATTGAGCATAAAGATCCCGGATTTTATCCTAAATCAATTCTTATAGGGGACGACATCTTTACAAAAGCTCTCCACACTGGTATCACTTACGAGCTTTACGGACATATTATCAACCACTTGTACCAATATCCCCCCATGATGATCGTCGACTACCAAGCCACGCCACCGGAGCCAACCACTCGCCTTCCACGACCTACTTGTAGCAAGAATATTGCTGTGATTGCGACTGGCATCATTGTCCGCCGCTTTGATCGCGAGGCCTATAATGACGTTATTCTGACTGTCAAACATCGTGACTATGATCCTGGAGTAAGCTTTTTACTTTTTCAGGTCGCTATTGTACTGATCCTTCTGCAGACTCTCGAATGGGTCGATTTTTTTGCGGAATATATATGTGGTCACAAATACAACGACAAATTTGACCCTAACTCACTCCAGATCGGCACTACAATGCGTTTCGAAGGCCACATCAAAGGTTTTTACGAATCTCGTAATACTTGGGTCTTTCGGGTATGTTTTCAAGTTTTTGACTTCTTCACAATACGCTGACCTTCACTCAGGTTGTTTCTTTCCGTGCCGAGTCCAAGAATGCCGGTCACGGTACCGATGGTACGAAAGGGGAACAATAAACAATGCCACTGGACCGCGGAGCACCTATTGACATTCAAACATCACATCAAATTTCTCGTTTAATACTCTTTTGTCATGAGCACCTTGCTAGCTGGTAATATTATTAGCTTTCTTCGTATCAATATAATCTTTCTTTTGGGCAAATACCCTCTATGCACTCTAATGACGGAGTATAACGTAGGCGTATAATCCACCCGGATAACTAATGTGTTACCTGGCCAATCATCATTTTCAAATATTGACCATATCAGCATCTTATATCCATCTTGCGCTACATTACAATCTCCTGTGCCAAAACACTATCATCGGAACTGGCGCTGATGACATAAATAATCGCGACTTGGTCTCGCAATATATGTTTCATTTTCTGCTCCCCTCTGCTTATAACGTATCATCCAGAGTTTAGTCCCATGTCTGGTCTGGCATTATCACACCATGAAATCCAATAAATTACACTGTCATACACTATACACATGAGCATATTGGGAAAAGGTTTTTGCCGCTCGTCTCTCAGAGATTCTAAATGCCAACAATGCGATCACATCTGCGCCTCATCCCTGCCTCTCTTCCGCTCGCTAAGAGTAGGTGTAGATGGATGGTTATCGCTAAATAGCTCCCGCAAGGCCTGACCTAGATCGATGTCTGCACCATCGTAAGATAAAACCATGCCACTGTAGTCAGCAAGACCACTACCAACACTATCCACTGACACAGTACTCGATGGCGTATTCACGGGCTGGACCGTGTGTAGAATCTTGCGTTCCATTGGGATATCCGATCCTTTGATGATACTAATAGAATCAACCTACCAGAAAGGTTAGTCTTGGCCACTCCGAAAGTGAAAATAAACTTACTTCGCTGGCCCACATTTCCTCGGTCTCGTCATAGTCCTTAATGACACCATGGACTATAATCTCTGCTCCTTCGTGGCATTTGTTGATGGAAATGGTTTCTTGAACTTGACCCTTAATATAATGCTTAGTTGACCACACTACCGGACTCAAGGTCTAATACGATTCATCAACGCCGGATTGATACAAAGTTGATTATTAATATGTTACTCACAGTGGGATCCTTGTCAACAGACGTGATTGTTATCACGACAGTAGGCACGATAGATCCAACTTCTAGGATGCTCATCCGACTGTTAACGTGTCCATGAGCTGTGATGGATACCTTGTCCATTGTCTTCCTCAAGTTCGCCAGTTTCGAAACGGAAGAAACGCCGAGGTCAATAACGTGTTTAGGATTAAAATGCAAATGGTCAATCGACGATGTGTTCGACGCTATAAGCCTGAAAGTCATTGCATAGACATTGCCGGATCGAAGGCAATGTCTAGGACTGGCCCTCGAGGTTAAAAGAATACCAGTCGCATAGGAATCGTTGTTGTTTAGACCTGACGTTGCTATTCCTGTTCGGACTGAGACCATACCACGGTCGCGGATATTCGAAGGTGTAGACTGTCTTGATCGTCAGTATAAAAGCTGACACAGAAAGGACAAATTACTAACCTCGTCCCCGACGACCCCAACGTAATGAATGAGCGTGGAATGTCGCAGCAAAAGCAGGCTTGGTAGAAACATTTCTCGATTATAGATGTTTATGTGAGTATGTAATGAACGTGAGGTGACAAATACCTGTTTTGCGTATGTGTCGAGCTTTCCTCATTGCTGGTCCAATCTCAACGGATTATATAGGGTCATTCGGAATGAAATGGCTCTATTCGCTATAACCTGAGCTAGTCTAGTCCCATGTACCGTGCGATCATAAGTCTGCCCAGCCTCATAACGAACCGAGTGGCAATTGGCTGAAGAAAAATGTGGGACGTGCCAGCAGAGGGCCGGTCCAGGCCATTATGTCCCTTTGTCATGTTCACCAATCTATATCGAACGCCAGCAGCGACGTTGGAACTTGAGGTCTGTTAACCTTGACGAGACCAGTAAATAAGGTATGGTTCGAGTCATGTATCAGTATATTAGTCGTCGACCACGTTCTTCTGACGATCTTCTCCCCTGTCTCATTTTTCCGGCAATGCAGTCCACTTCGAATTCATCCTCAGCACTGGCACTGCCAGCATTAAAGAGGTTCCCGGATGGGAATCTGGGTCCCAGGGACCAGATTCCCCTTCTGTTACTGTTACACAGCCTAAGGAATATTGCCTGAGTAGTCATTGTGATATATGTAGTCAATTTTTCAAAATGCTTCTCACAATCTGAGCAAAATTACAACATGTATTACATGTAATTTTCCTATCCAGATGAACAAATAACTGAGCTGATGCGTATGTAGCTGATAGCTAAGGATTTACACAGATGTTTGCACATATGTAGCATATGCTTCAAGGCTCAGTTGTGCAGTGCAAGATGATTTCATGACCATTTTACTATCAATTATGTTCCCAGCCTAGGTCACTTTCCCACCTGGGAACCTATTTAATGCTGGCAGTGTGGTTACGACAGACAATGAAAGTCTCCCGATGCGGTTCTCTGGCCCCATAACTGTGCGAGCTCTTGTGAGTATAGGATTTATTTTTTTTTACGCAAGACTAACATAAATTCTCCTGCAGCATTCCCACGGCGTTACACATAGTAAAGTGGAAGTTTTGGTCTCCCCTCCCGATGATCCAATAGTTTCTACACCACTCCTCCTCCGGGTTGAATTTACTTCCGGGAACAGCATGACCGAAGTACTCCTACCGGCTAGGATCCACTTCTGTGGGACAATACTCCAAACACCGGAAACAAATCTGACGGAACTATTGGTAGACAGTAATATGTTCCAGAACGGTTGCATTGTTCCTTCCCCAAAGCTCCCAGGAAAGGATGCAATTTTAATTCACGCTAGAGGACGACTTGTATTGAATTCACGCATTTGAAATCCATACGATTCTATGCATTGGCGGATGTTGGTATTGATGCATCAACAATGGGATGTCTCGGTGAGTTTCGAATCATTGCATCTCTCATGATAGGCACTGATACTTTGTCACTGCAGGCCCTACGGTATACCAAGTTTCATAGTCAGTACCTGTGCGAAGATGATCTTTTAGGTGGTTTGAATGCTCCGCTCCGAAATGGATCTTTGTTCGTTGTAAATGGGCGACTAATGAGCACCGGTGGACCCAGAGGAACATGGCTGGTCAAAGTAAACTCACTTGGGTCCGAGTAACAAGGATCAACCAAAGCACATTAAGCCGATGCAGTTTTCATTATCCATGGCAGAAGTATATTATCAGCTCAAGATTAAAGGGCATCTGCGCCTAGCTGCTTTGTGATATCTACGTGAATACATGAAAAAATTTGTCTACTACTGCCTCCCTCGCGTTACACATTCATGATCTATAGTTCAATGTACATACTTTATTCCGAAATGAATCTTTTGTAAACAATGTTCGGAGTATGCATCGCCGGTCCTGCATTGGCGGAACACACTTTAAGTTTTGAAGCGTCGGTGCACCTTGACAGAGCTACATACAACTGCCCATGAGAGAAAATTGGGTCAGGCAGAAGGACTAAAATATTCTCTAGGCTCTGTCCTTGTGCCTTGTTTATCGTGATGCAAAATGCAACGGAGATTGGAAATTTATATCTATAGAAAGGCACGGGAAATACGTCATCCCCCTCATGTAACAATTTGATTCGCGGAAGCATAAGCATCTCGCCGACATGATCGCCAGATGTAATCCGGCATCTCAGAACACCCTTACCGCATCTTGTCACGATCATTCTAGTCCCATTGCATAGACCTTGAGCTAGATTCAGGTTCCGGAGTAAAATGATTGGTATACCTGGCTTCAAGATCATCGTATGCGGAGGGAACGAGGCTAGGTCGTAAGAATTCAAAATGTCAGCGGTAACATGTTCGCCGTACGATTCTTCCATCTCGTCTAATGAAACATAATTATGTTCTTCTCCCTCGATGCGGTCCACAATGTCGCGATTTACTGACCTCACATTCTTGTTAAGTGGTGTCAATATGCAACGTTCGGAGTAATAAGTAGCTAGCCTAAGCCAATTGGCATCCGCGATGAGTTTCGGTACTTCAACAAAATGCTCCTCGACCATAGCCATGTCATATCGCTCGTCAGGTGTCACTTCAGTTACGTTACATCGCTCGATATTTACAGATTGTTGGTCCTTGTCTTGTAACTCGCCGTTGCCTAACTGCAATAGCCATTTGGCGTAGTTAGTGTTTGCAATCCTAATGTCTTTGGCCTGTCCCTGAATGTGGCGTAAGCGCATATTAATTGTTAGATAGAACTTTTCGATTGCGGGCCAAAATATCGATCTCTTCAGCGAAGCAGCGGCTTGCTGTTCCATATTAGAGTGTTTTATGACAGGTAGCGTTTGCCGGAAGTCTCCTGAGAATAGAACTAATACTCCACCAAAGGGCTCAGTATTTCCCCGCAAGTCCTTCAAACTACGATCGACGCATTGAATGACAGACTTATTTTGCATTGCAATCTCATCCCAGACCAGGAAAGCCAACGATTTCAACTCACGCCCAAGAATAGTATCATAGCCAAAACTACACATAGAGGTAGCAGTAGGGTTTAAGGGTACTTTGAAGCCCGAGTGCGCTGTCTGACCACCTAATAACAGGATTGCCGCGGTGCCAGACGACGCGAAAGCCATTGATTTGATACGTTGAGCACGGGCATAATGTAAACAGAGATTGATGGTGAACGTTTTTCCTGTTCCACCAGGTCCGTCAAGATACAACAAACCACCGCGCTGATCTTCAAGATACGCTTGAACAGTAGTGTAGAGAGCTCTCTGTTCCTCGTTCAATTTGATTTCGCCATCTGATACATACGTCTGGCTAGCTTCGACACTATCTCCAGGCTTGGTGATCGTTATGAAATTTGGACCCAGTGGTCGCAATAGTTGATGGTTAGGCAGTGGCAATCCGCAGTCCTCCAAGGACATATCCATTTCGGAAAGGCAGTCGCTCAGTCGATGAAGGGCCAAAGTTTCAATTAGTTCCTGATCTACCTGTAGGTCAGGATGCACTTGTAGGATTGCTCGTTCGCAGTCATCAGATAGGTGCTGCTTTTGCGCAAGCCATAGCGCCATCGGATCCGCCGGTGGCGAGTGTTTCAGCATTAATGCAAAGAAAGCTCGTAATTGATGACCAGTCTGCCACGAGGCAGCTTCTGACAATGACGCAGAGTGATGCTCGTCGCCAAGAAGGAATCCGAGTTTGTGCGCGGCCTCCCGGAAAGTGGCACATTCGTGGCCGTTGACTGTCTTGATTTGGGAAAAACCCTGTGGACCACGAAGATTCGAAAGAAGGATTCGAAGGTAATATCGTTCGCCATGGGAGACGGAGGCAAAGTAAAGCCTCCCGATAGCGCTGCTTTCGTTGACACGGTCAGCCCATTCGTGCGTTTCTTCTTTCCAAGTGAAGTGCCGCGGCATGTCGACGTAATATAACGAACGGACGGCGATGCCGCTCTCGACGATTATGTGATTTTGATGCGCTAGCTCGAAGAATTGGGTGATCGTAGTACGGGCGGCGCGACCGGTCTCAACATCGTCTACAAGCTGTTCCTCGTCGGCAAAAGTAACTTCCTGCGCATCCTCCAAGTGCAAAGCGAGACGGGTGACAGAGGGGGAATTGCCGACGACAGAGTAACCAAAAAGACGGCCACAGGCTAATTCAGGGTGTCAATGACTGATCACAGGTAGAAGAGGGGTCATAAGCATACCTTCTGGCGCACTGATATACCTCCCATCGATCATCCGTTTAACTTCATCTTTGGAAACGAATGTCATCGCGGACCGCGCATGACCTTTTGAAATATACTTATAAAGGTATTTGATTGCTTTGATACTGACGGGCACTTCGACGTTCAAATGACAGCGATACCGAAGTAACAAATACGGACTGTAGGGAACTACGTCACGGGAAGAAACCGAGCGACCTTGTACAACCGCCGTGCGTCCGGATGCTGGCCGCCGATACAGTGGATAAGAGTTCTCCGAGATTTTCGTAAATTGCTGATGTTGACGTGGATAATCTAGTTTGCAGCGGTCACCTCGCCAACAGGCTCGATCCTTGGTACATGGGCCATGTATCATAAATTTTGTGACAAGCTCGTGCAGCAATGGCGACTCTTTGGGGTCAGGAAGGTCAGCGGAAACTTGAAGATCAATTCGGTCAGTCGTCCTGCAAATGTCCTGCGGCCGTAGGATTAATAGCAAATGGATATGTGGTAGACTTCTTTTTTGATGCTCAATAGCATAGACATAAGAAAGGCATTCGCCCAAACGACGCCGTTTCGTAAGATCATCAATCAATGCCATCACTTTGAGGTGAAAGACTCTAGTTAAGAGGTCAGGTCGGTCTTGAGCAGTTTGCCCGTACTGTAGGTTGTCCTGGATTTCGGGCCAGTCAGAGTTGGTGGTCATTGTAATGAAAAAAGCGGGCATTCCAAATTCTCGGACTAAGGCCATCAAATCGTGGTATTGTTCAGACATGTACCTTGGGCCGCCAACGAAGGACGATGGCAATATTACAGATCTCGACGGCGCCAAATCGTTGCGGCCTAGCGCTTCGACTACCCCGTGGTAGATTGCTGCGCGGAGACGTCTCTGATTGTTTCGGATGAACTCTAGGCGCCAATGCTCCGTACATATATACAAATCTACCGCGAGTTCTTGAAAAAGTCTTCCGCCCGCAAGAACCGCTGAGAATTGATTGTGCCTAGGAAATAAGATATATGCAAACCAGGCCATCTGGCTGATTTTGACTGAAAATGGAAAATATCAGATTGTGTTCCAAGAAAAGCAATGACCTGCTTACCATTAGTATCTGGCATTCGGTAATGCTCATCATATCCTTGTTGCCCCTTAGGAAAGAAAACTACATAACAGAGGCCTAAGTACGAGGTGTGGAGGTCGGAAATATGTTCGAAAGAGCCTAAACGTTTGTAGACGATAATGTCACGGGCGTTTTCACCGACCAGTCCATCCCCTTCTACGATCATAGCGACCTCATCTGTGGTCGGATGATTGTAACGCCTCGCATCTCGGCCGTGGATCGGCATAGTCTTCAACCTCAAGGCGATGTTGTCTCTCGTTGCCAGCACTTCCCCAGCTCTCTTGAACATCCTCGCGAACGGGTTGATTTTGTAAAAATAGTCCTGGAAGCGTTGCAAGATGTCCAGATCAAGGCTTTCATTGTTGGCGACGTCGCGGCGGTGTTCTGCTTCGGCACGGTCACCTCCGCCAATGACATATATTTGGGCGTGGCCTGGGACCGCTCCGATGCGCGGCTGCAGTCCATCTATATCGTGGGTCAAGACGCCATTAATACGGAACACCCGCACACCCATTTGGCCGTTGACTGTCTTGTCGACTTGAGCGCCGAGAGAGGTAAATGACAACGCGTTGTTGTAGGACTGGATATTCTCCCTATACTTTTTCGAAGCTGAGAACATGAAGAGATTAATAGTGGCATACGATACAAAGGCGCAGAACATACCCTCGTCGTTGTCTGTCATTAAGCGGCGGACGAAGTCGGGCACTACGTGATCGCCGAAGTAGTCCACGGGCGGTTTGATCTTGCCGCCTCGACAGCACGTACTGTAAATGTGTGGCCCAGTCACTTTGGCATTCGAAGGTCGTTCGGCGATCCAATGGAGAGCACCACATTTCTGACACGGATCATCGAGGTTACCGAGGTTATGAGGCATCTCATTGCGTAGGCGGTGCATGATGCTTCTCTCGTTATTATGTTGTGGTTCATTGACGGCTAGACCAGCGTTTGCTCGTTTGGGGGCGCGGGCGCGGTCAGGAAAAGGAAAAGGCATCGTGTATAACTGAGATCGTTGTAATGTGCCGCGTGGATAAATAGATCCAAAGTCAGAAGTTCTAAAGGTCATTGAATTCGTCAGTACCCCAGGGCCAAGCGCCAGGATTGGGCAATGACCGACGTGGTCGTTTGCCCTGACCTTGGGGTTCGCAAAGTTGCTGTGCTCACCGGTTATGGCAGGATTTAATTTAGTTCCTTTCAGTGCAATGTCTCTACGATTGAATTATAATGAATTGCTTCGTCTGTGTTCGATGAGAGCAAGTGCACTTCAAAGCGGCAGAGATTCCTATATTGACACTATTACAATGGGGTATTTTGAACACTATGTACAATGATGAGTAAATATGGCAATGGTAATTGTGAAAGAGATCTGGTCCGTGTCGCAACTACGCTTGGAAACGATTGTCATAGCAATTACTCAACACACGACTTTTTGTTGCGACCTCGTCCTGTGACTTCCAGAGTCGGTGAGGAAACAGTGTTGGATTCATCATTAACGTCAGACATTCCGTCAATGGCACCGTGTGAAGTCTAGGGCGCGGGTGAGTTGATGGACGACGCAGGAGAATTGTTTCCGACTGCCGCCGAATAACTATAGAGGTGATACGTATCAACATTAAAGCACACTACGAAGCGGGTGAGAGGAGACAGACCGTGGGAGGCGGACTCGTCCGGCGGCGGTAGTTTGTGAAACGGCAGTGCTGGTACCAGCAGTAGGAGTACTCAATGATTCATGTCCCGTGGCGACAGACACGGCATAGACCTAGTGAGAGAAATCGTCAATGAATGTCAGGGTAAAAAAACTGGTTGACTTACGTCGACCTGCCACATATGCCTTTGAACATCTTTTCCAGTGATGTACCCGAATAAGGTCACCTCACGGCCACGCTGGAAAAGATTTTGGGCCTTTGTTAAGTTCCGAACGGGCCGACACCAATATTCAATATTGAACTCGACATTAGCACCCACCTAGGCAGAGGGATTAATTCGGTATCAGCAATGGAATGGCGCTGAAACAAAGGGAATATTACACACGACTGGATTATAGTCAGTATGGCGAACAATGCAGACAGTAGTAGGCCGACCTTCGTGATTGGCTTCTTGGACGACTCTTTTGCTGACGATGATACCGATCGCAGAGATTGCCGTATTGTTGATGAGTGCGCCGGGGAAAGTCTCTGCATTGCCCAAATGGACGACATGGCTATGTTCGTGCACAGCGCTCGTAGGCGTTAAGTCATTGGGGGCAAAAAACTTGGCCTTCGCGAAGTACATATCACCGACAGTGACAACGACGCCAGAGCCAGTGTACGCCGTGAGTTGGACAGGGTGCTCGAAGGGTTCATTACCCTCGATTCCGCTACAACCGATTCCGCTGTTCGCCACACGGTAGCCCACGTTGGCAGAAAGGGTACTCGCGACCTGGGATCGGTTAGTCAGCATAACTGAGAATGAGGCGGAGAAAAAAAAAACGTACAATGCCTGAGATTTCCCAGCAAGACGAAACGTATGCAGGATGGGAGACCCGTCGGTTATTAGATGGCGAGGACATGATGTGTATAGAGGTGATAATAAAAGGTTTGGAACAATGAAAATTGAGTACGGTTATGAGACAGGTTTTGCAAGAAGAGAGAATGTGATGAGAACGGCGGAAGGATAGGTTTTGGAATTGGGTAAATAAAAATTGAATACAGATGAGCGGATGGTGACAAACAGATGGTGGATTGTTCAGCGAAGGGGGAGAGATGTGTCGTGCTTTATACCTCAGAAAGATTGCTGAATGGCCGGCCTGAAAATAACAAACGGTTTGCGGATTGTGTAATGGCCAAGCAGATGACTAATGCCTGGGCCAGTTAATTTAGTAAGGAGGTTAGGTAGTGGTCCATGTTGAGAATATCATTATCAAAATACGGATGGCGTAGTTTCGCGTAGCTTCGAAGACGATAGTAATGATATTGGGACTGGATCAGAGGATAGTGGTATTAAATGACAGCGGGTTACGGAGGGCTGTCTACAACAGATGTGGCTGACATGAGTGAAAAACAACATAGCTACGATTGCGTTGGCTATGTACGCTACGGGATTAATACAGTGTCTCACCGTAGCCCACTTTCTTTTATTAGTTATTGGTAGATTCACCAAGATTCCAATATCAACAAAATTAAATCAATCAAAATGGTATCACACATTACTTGAATCAAACCATTGCATCATCATCATCAACCTCAAACTATACATCAATTACAGAACTTTCATTATCATCTCAAACAAAACCATCAATCATCGGACATAGATATCTCTTCTAGATGTCTTTTTGGGTGATTTAGATATGTAATAAAATCCAAATCAACATACGTTTGATTAACCACATCTCTTCAAAAGTGTGTTTAATTCTGGGTTTATGGCATTTTTTCTACTGCTATGGTAATGCTGTTTGAGGCTGGCAACACTTTGAAAAACACAAATCATGATAATTTAAATGAATTGCTTGATAATGAATTGGATCTAGAAAAAGATTATGATGATGAAACTGCTTTGTGAGTTCAACTTTTTTACAACCTTCAATTCTTCTTTGAATCAAATTCCTAATACTAAAAATTCTTCAATTAGTTTGCAACTTGAACATCATGAACATCCTAGTTTACCTCAATGTTTTCAAAAATTTCCTATCATTTGATTGCTCAATCTTTTCAATTGAAATGTTGGAAGTATATTGGTGGTAGGATTGAAAAATCAGAACCAAGACTGCTTTTCAGATTACTATCCATTGAGGCTCATGAACAACAGTTTACAAAGTACCCGAACACGCTCAAACCTCCGCACCTCCTTATCTAGAACCAGAGGTCTATCTATTCTCAATACACAACAGATTCTGTGCCAATTGTCATTGACAATGGTTTGTACCTTTTCATCAATCTTCAATTTGCGCCAAAGTGAATTGTAACATTTTTCTGATCTTTTCAACCTTATATTACTATAGGATCTTGCTCACTTGTGCTGGATACTCAACAATGGAGAAACCGTATCTGAATATTGATAGTGTGATTTTGAGGTATCAAGATTGCAAAACAAATCAAAAAATCACTTTGGCTGGATCAGAGTCTTATGATGATGCAGCATCAAGATCTAACCTTGAAACGATTTGTGAAGAAGGTGTTGTGTGTGACTAATAGCATGGCACGCACAATTCCTCTTATGACTCTAGATTGGTAATTGTTGAAGTGTACAATCAACGTAAGGAAAAGTAGTTACAATTAATAGGAAAGTCGGATACACGAAGAGAGACAAATATGAAAATCATTAGCAAGTGAAAGGAGACTTACGCTATAAACAAATTGCCCCAATATGTTGTAAAGAATTGATTACTTATAAGCTGTCTTCTCCTTGCTCGACTTACTTCTCCTTTCCCCATCTTTGGGAAGAGAAGTAAGTTCATTTCTACCTTTTTATCAATCACATCTAGCTTTATAATTGATGCCTTATTTCAACTTGTTTTTCTTTTTCTTTGCTTGTTAGCATCTTTCATCTTATCTCATAGAACCAAAGATCAGTTATCTATTAGTGATAACTTATAACTAACATCAGTCTGAACCACTAATAGGTATTCCTTGTTCTCGTATAATTATCTTTCATGTCATTTCTGATTAGACTATTGTTGTTGTTAGGTCAGCACTTTTATTGTTGAGTATCTTGTAGCAGGTTGTGCTCATTAGCGCTTTAGCACATGCTATTAGGTGAATAACATTCAATCTTTGGGAAGAGAACATCTTTCATCTTATCTCGTAGAACAAAAGATCAGTTATCTATTAGTGATAACTTATAACTAATATCAGTCCAAACCACTAATAGGTCAGCACTTTTATCATTGAGTATCTTGTAGGAGGTTGTGCTCATTAGCGCTTTAGCGCATGCTATCAGGTCAGCACTTTTATTGTTGAGTATCTTGTAGGAGGTTGTGCTCATTAGCGCTTTAGCGCATGCTATTAGGTCAGCACTTTTATTGTTGAGTATCTTGTAGGAGGTTGTGCTCATTAGCGCTTTAGCGCATGCTATTAGGTCAGCACTTTTATTGTTGAGTATCTTGTAGGAGGTTGTGCTCATTAGCGCTTCAGCCCATGCTGTCAGATCCCCTGTTCAAAGACTCCCATTCATTCTCAGTAGCCACTCCTTACTCAGAGTTTTGGTTTGTTCGTTGATCGAGGATAATGATCAGCTTGTGTTGTAAGTTCACCTCGCCCGACAAAGTGAGGTTGCAATAATCTATTGATGCTAACCATGCCAGATGTACACAAATCATTGAACCATGCAAAACAATGGATCTGATGAGCTGGTTTGGTTTTTTACTTGGACAACACATCTCTGTCAAAGGAAGGGATGCTAGATTACATTTTTTGAAGCTCAGGGTCTCCAGTGACGCAGTGTATCATCCACTATTGATGGTGAAACTCTTTGTAATCTAGTCTATACTCAAGGACATAATTTATTCATCCTATGGTCACGCTGCTTCCACCATGTGAATCTATTTCATGAAGCTTACAAAGATTGTTTCTTCTTTTGAACCTATGGTATTTTTAGTCATGTCCGAACTTTTGTTTGAGACCTATCAAGTCCCATAAGCCTGTTATGGAATCAATTCATTATTCTTGTATCATGATACACATTATGATTTACCACTAGAACAACAAAACTCACTAATAATTTCATCATCACATTCAAGTACAACAGTGATCCCAACGTCGAAATCACTGCACTATGCACAGCAATATGAAGGGCCGTAGATAGTGGTGTGATCTACCACTATCTTGAACATCCGCTACGCACCACTACCACAAACAACCCGCTATGTCTTTTATGTAGGGGTGCGTATCAGCCACTATGGGGCACTACAATATAGACTCACTAGCGCTATCATAGCGCACACGCATTTTTTAATATGAACACCAAATATTATTAAAAGGCATTTAAGAAATAAGTGACAAACATATACAAGAACCATTAAACAACTGAGTAAGAGAGTAGAGGAATAGAAACGAAAGAGAAGAAAGAACATGTATTAAAGACAGTCATGAAGTAGAAGGCAATCTAAATGATTGAGATATAAGAAAGAAGAAAAGAGAATTGAGACTTGAAAAGTGAGATTGGGAGTGAGTGTAGGAAAAGAAAAAAGGAAAACTTTGACTTAAAGAGAGTAATTAACTTGAAGGTAAACTAAAAGATATGATGATTAAGAAAAGGAAAAAATAATTGAGACATCAAGTCATTGCTTATGCATGTTCTCCGCCAAGGATAGAGCCTCAGAGAACTCGCCAGGAACCTTTATCCCAGCCTTGAGCCACTCCCAAGAGGAAGCAGGTCGCTCAATGGTACGGCTAGTCATAGCCAAACGATTGGACCCGCACACATCAGCTGCACCTGAAAAGATCCTTTCACAAGAACAGGTTGTTCCAGAACGACCCAAAAAGTCACGAGCCATGAGGGCAAGGACACGAAATGCGCCACAATTATCCTGCAGCATAAGACACAGTCAGAGATTTTGAAGTTAAAGATAAGATGATGAAGAAAGACAACGTACCCTCCACCACAACAAAAGTGTGCCACAGCTAAGTAAAATTTCACTGACATGTAACCTTCAAGTTCTTGTTTGGTATCATCATTAGGTCCAGACGCCATAGAATAAAATACATTATATTTGTCATCAGTGACAGTATTATCTTGCTGGACAGTGGTGATTGTTGTGACCGGATGACTAGCTTGATATTGAATTGAATAAGAATCCAGACATTGTTCGACAATTGTTTGGATGCGAGTTACATGTGATGGATGATGAAGTGCAAAGAACTTAATCCTGAGTCAAGGGTTGAGGACAGTAGCAACTACAATAGCATCACATTCAAGAGTCTCTGACTCGTAATGATGAAGGCGACTGATCATGCTTGACGTCAATTTTTGAAGGCTGGTGTATGGTGTATAAGTATTGAGTTTTTGAAGGGATGTCCTGACAGGGTGATAGTTGAGTAAGATTATAGCTGCTGTGGAATGATTGCCCTCGATCCTCGAGGTAGCTAAAACAGTAACCTAGTCAAGACATCAGCAATCAGTAAAAGATTGTAAGGTGGAAGGATCGAGATAGATATCAAAGTACTCACTTCCATAACCTCATTCAAAGCAGTTGCACATAGCCATTCACTTTTTGAGATTGATATTTCTTCAAAATAACCCTCCTCGTCATTTGCTAACATCTGATTTATTGCCTGTAAATAAAGTGATAAATTAGTGGCTTCAAACCGACTGAGCTCAGTAAATGGAAGTCTTACCTTGGCTCTATCTACCATGATTGATTGGCTCTGGTGCAAGCCATTCCATTTGGTGGACTCACCAAGGATAGGACAACACAAAGTCCTACCCAACTCCTTAGCACAGTTGTGGAATTCCAGACGTCAGGATGGACAACAAGCAATCAGTTGGCTTACTCGATTGATCTGCAGAGATTGAAATCAATATTGAGATGAAGAAAGTTGGCAAGAGTGTGAAGAGAACTTACCTTCTTGATTG